ACAGAAATTTTAAATAAACTCCTATGGGTGACAATCTGAAGTATCTGGAGGATAAGAAATAAGTATCTGGAGGATAATATCTGGAATCCGGAGGATAAGAACGTAAGGGATATGTACTGATATATCCACAGTGGAACTTTTAATTCGGTTTCTCTTGTTAAATTTTGAACGAAATTTCCAATTCGCACCAACACAAATCGTCGTATTTCATTAACATAGTGCTATTATAATTCCTAAAATTTTCATTATTTTTATAAATGCTGGCCACTTTAAAAATACATTTTGCCGGTACGGTGTGTTGGCTTTAACTCGTAGTTACTAGAATTAGCGTAGTTATTAGCAATTAGAATTTTTCAATTACCCGTTCTGGAAGGTTGAGATATGGTAGTTTTAATCTGACAGTGAATGTTGTACATGCCATTCGTCTAAGCTACACTCATGTCCATAAATTAAGGATAATGAAGTTCAGGCAAAGAAAGAGACAGAAGCAAAACAATATTTGACTTATTTGTAAAGTCTATTTATTAAACAAAAGGAAAGAGCAAAAAAGATGCTATATGTTTGACATAATTAATAAAAATTGCAATTTTTACTCCTGAGCAAATTTAAAAAAGAACCTATTTAAAAAACAGTATAACATGGTTAGTATGAGGGTTAATATGGAGTATATCTCCCGGACGATGCAATACAGGCCTTACAACGCCTAGGCATGCTGAGTATCAAATTATCAATCAGATCTTGGGGAATATTACACCACTCATCAAGCAATGCCCTCCGAAGTTCCGGTTGACTGGTGGGAGGGGGTTGACGGGCTGCAATTCGTCGGTCCAAGCATATCCACGCATGCTCTATTGGATTCAAGTCCGATGAGTATGCTGGCCAATCCATACGGGTGATATCCTCCAATTGAAGGCATTCGTCTACAATGCTTGCACGGTGAGGACGGGCGTTGTCATCCATAAACAGAAATTCAGCACCCATGGCTCCCGAAACAAACGTACCTGTTGTTCCAGAATGACATCGCGATAGATGTGGTCAGTTCAGAACCAAGAATAATTCCTCCCCAAACGAGCCATCCTACGCCACCGTAACTGTGTCGTTCAATGGTGTTCTCTTGGTGGTAACAGGTACCTGGCGCTCTTCATATGAAAGTCCGGCGAGAATCAGACTGCAAACTAAACTTGGACTCGTCGGAAAACATCACACCAGACCGCTGTTGCGGTGTCCACAATGCATGCTCTCAGGTTAATCGCAGGCGACAGAGTGTTGCGTAAATGGAACTCATCTGACAGGCCTACGAGCATATAGAGCAATGTGCCCTAAGCGTCTGTACACTGTCTGCCTTGAAACTGTCGTACCGGTAGCTGAAGAGAGCTGACGAGACAGGTCTGATGCTGTGCTCCGTCTGTCTCTTATGGCAGTAACTGCTAAATACCGGTCCTCATTCGGCGTTGTAACTCGGGGCGACCTGTGCTGTAACATCTACTCACATTACAATCATCTTGGAATCTTTGCCAAGTCCTGGAGATGACACTCTGGGCGATTCCAAGTTCCTCGGATACTTCCAGCTGGGAACGTCCACATTCCAGTCGTCCGATAATTCTACCACGTAAAAAATCATCCAAATGCTTCCTTTGTGCCATAACTATGCGGTTATTGCACTGAAAGTCTTTAAAGCGCTTGTGAACAATTTTACTTCTTTGCCACCATTCCTTATATACCTCTCTCATACACTCTCGTCATTATGACGTACTATCCGCGCCATCTGGTGGTTTCCTGTAATTTGCATATTCTTCTTCAAGATGTGTGTGATAATTCTACAGGTGAAATTTTTATTTTGAGTTCAATTTCTGTGTCATTCTGAATTATCCTTAATTTATGGACATGAGTGTATTTTGAAGCAATGATGGCTTAAAAACATTTGAACATTTTACTACTTACCCTCGCTGCACTCTTGTTTATGCTCAATACTGTTTAACTTTCAAACTTTAAAAATATTAACACGTATTTATCACTCTTAAAAATTGTTTTCGATTCCATTACCAGATTTATTTCATGACATATGCAAGCTGGAAATGGAGAGAAAAGGTTTCCTTTTAGGCGGTATGACGAAGCATTACAAATTTTTGTCATATTCTGAAAGGAATTCAAAATAAATGTTTCAAACTTATTTTTACTAATTACAGCATATTACAATCTTTACAACTAAAAAATGTTGTACATAAAACAAGTATGCTTCACACTTTTAATGATTCTTAGCACAGTGTCACAGCACCCTTTAACCTGATTGCGCTTGTAACGTAATAACTCTTCGTAACGGAATCACACAATTTTCTTGAGTATGAAATGCATGTTAAAATTTTAAAGGATAAAATATATAAAATTTGAAAGTATGAGACAAAAAATTAGAAGTTAAAAGGTATTCAGGATAATCAAGTGAACAACGAGTATAAGTAATAAAAAGTTAAAAAACGAATTTAAGCAATCGTTGTTTCAAAATAGCTTAAAAGATGTCAAGGTCAGATGAAACTCCCAACACGAGTTTAACCTCACCATGACTAAATTGCCCAGAAGGTGGAATCGAACCACTCTGAATCTCGTCAGCTACGGGTTTGAAGCCCGCACACCAGACCACTGGCGCTCATCTGGACGACTCTACTACTTCGTTGTCTGGTATTTATACTGGCATTTCGGCAAGAAGTGTTAAAAGTGGTAGATTAAACTACCTGCAAGCATCACCATTTGCAGTTGATGTCATTACTGGCATTTATTTCTTGAGTCATTTCGCATGCTATAGTTTATTCAGGTTATAATTATTCAGTCGGCAGGTGCGGAAATATGGTTTTCTTTGCAGCAAATCTAATATGACGTTTGTTCCAAAAATATTTGTAGCACGTGTTTCATTCTTAAACGCCGTTTGATTTCCCTACTAACAGTTGTTACGTGTTATACGCAAACTGGAAAAAAAGAGAGATATGCATTCTATCAAACTGTGTTCAAAAATAAAATACTTATTATTCTTATATTTTATACGAATACTTAAAGGAATGTTTCAAACAATTTTTGTTTATTAAAGAATATTTAAATCCTCGTTACATAAAACATTGAAAGTAAAAGATATGATCATAAATGTTAACCCCTAACCGACAAAGAGTCGGTGATAAACAACTGACATATTTGCTACGTAAGTAAATGGCCTCCACTAATTGGAACCTAATCCTTCCACAGGTTGGATCACGAGTTGTTTCTTGAAAACCCCATATCCCACAATCCCCCTTCTGACGTAGTGCACTCTTCGCATCCTTTCGTTATACAACGTGCTGAGTCGTTAGGAGTAGGCAGACTACACCAAGTATAATTGAGTTTGCACCGTGCTTACTGTAAGAATGTGTTGTGGATCGAAGAGCCTCAGCAAATGTTATCTTCCCTGATCTGCATTCTCGCTTGAAGAATGTTCATGACTTGCATCGCTGTGCATATGAATAGGCGTAAGTCTTTAAAGATGTTTGTTTTGTTACTTATGGTCATAACCTCACGCTTCTCTAACTGTGTAAATATTACAGTAGAAAAAATATTTAAAACACTAATTTTAATAATCTATTTTTAATAGAAATCATACAATAGTTCTTAGTAGAGGTAATGATATTTGTTATGTATGGTAGCAATCAGCGTTTATCACTCAAAAACAAGGGTATATTTTAGAAACAAATGCTATGTTGTTTTTCAGCATACGCATTCGTATATATAATAAAAGACTTAAATGATTTTAAGTGATGAGCACTGTTTCCAAATAGCCAAAAGGAAATACATGATAGCTAGAATTTTCAATTTACGTTCTACACTCTCATGCATATTCCACGCCCAAAGGTGGATTCGAACCACTCTGATCTGCAACAGTTGAGGGTTTGAAGCACCCACACCAAATCACTGGCGCTCATCTGGACAAAAGCAGGAGTACGACTTTAAATGTTTCTACTGGTATTTCTGCACAGAGCACTAAAAGTGGTAGATTAAATTCTATGCAACTATCACTATAAGAGGCTGATGATATTTTCGTACTGTTTTCTTGAATCATTTCATGCAATAAAAGGTGATTAAGTATTAGTATTAGATTAAGTATAAGTATTTATAAATTCAGTCAATGGATAAGGGAAAAGGGCTTGCATTGCTACAGATGAATAAGAAAGTTTTTTATTATTTTTTTTTAATTTAATCTATCACTGCATAAATTTGTACCAACATGAAAATACCAAGTTTTGACAACGGAATCAAACAATTTTCTTGAGTATGGAATGCATGTTACAAATTTTAAGGGATAAAAGTTATACAATTCGAAATTATAAGTGAAATAAGTCAACATTTTACTGCTTTCCCTCGCTCTTGTTTATACTGAATACAATTTTATAAAAATATTAACATGCATTTCTCACTCCTAAGAATGGTTCGATTCCTCTACGAAGATTTATTTCATAACATATGCAACTGTTACAAGATTGTAATACCTTATAACTTGCCAACTTCTTAATACAAAGTAGAGGGGAAGATATGCTTTCTTATACATTGTATTAAGAAACATTACAAATTATTATAATATTCTTAAAGGAACTCAAAATAATATTTCAAATATTTTTTTGCTGATGAAAGTATATTACAATCTTTAAATTAAAACAAAAATATATATTGTATATGAAAGAAGTATGATTCAAACTTTTAATATTTCTCAGCACCTTGTAAAGAACACTTTTTTCCATATTTACATATGTTATGTCATAAACCTTGGCGTAGCCAACAACTCTGGTGGCTAAGAAATACATTTCATAATTTTTCAAAGGATGAAATTTATACTGTATTCAGCAAAAACAAGAGTACAATGAGGTAAAGTAATAAAATACCTAAATGATTTTAAGCGAGCATTGTTTTAAATGGATTAAAAGGGTAAATAATATATGAAATTCACAGTAATATGAAATTCACTTCGTTTAACATCACCATGACTCTCTCGCCCAGAAGGTGGAATCGAACCACTCTGACTCACATTAGCCACGGGTTTGAAGCCCACACCAGACCACTGGCACTCATCTGGGCGACACTAGGCCTTTGTTGTTTGGTATTTATACTGGTATTTCTGCAGCAAGTGTTAAGAGTGGTAGATTAAACTACCTGCAGGCATCACCATTTGGAATTGCGAAATTTACAAATCAATGTTCATCAGAAAACGTGAACAGGAGCAGCAATGCCATACTTTTAAGCTTTTTTTTTTAAGGAATGCCCACTTAAAGCCATTTGAGTCTTTCACTACCTTCCTCATTGCATGACATAAATACAGTTTGGAGTATTTTTTTCCATTAAAAAAACTGAAACGTATTTTTCAATTCTAACTTCGTCAATAATAATTGTTACATAACATATGAAAACTGGGAAAGGAGAGACACATTCCTTTACACAGAGGCAAGAAGTATAAAATATTATCAAAATTAATATTTTAAGTATTTTTCACGATATTATTTGCCAGGAGAGGTCATAATTGTAATAAGACAAAACAACTTATAAGTGAGAAACACATGAAGTCCTATAACACATATAACATATATAATGTTTAACAGGGCCTGAATGGCAGGGTGGCTGGCCCTCGGTAATACAGGTTTCGTGTTCGAGTCCCGACGGTGCCATGGATGCTTGTAGTGGTTCGGAATCCACTTTAAACCGTAAGTCGCCGCCCTAATAAGAGCATTGCGGGCGCATTGTTACTCCGCGTCCGTGGCTTATCTTCAAGTAACACTCTCCTCCTGAGTAATGCAAAGTGAGTAACGTCTGTGCAGCGCTTGCCTTAAGGCATCCAAGACCAGCTGCATTAGAAAGAAAAAAATAACTTATGTATAACATAGTTTATATTTTGTTCAATATAGTTCTTACGTCGTATTCAATATATATTTAAAATTGCCAGCATGGGAAAAAAATAATGGGAACTTTTGCATTTTAAGGCAATTATGGTAATGAGAGAATAGAAAACTACAATTTCATACGATCGTTTAAAATGTCAATATTGGGTTTACTTTCATATCTCTATTTTTTTTTCCTCTCGTTTTTGGTAGGATGACACCTTTTATAACCATGTTTTTTTATTTATAATATTTGATGTAACGAAGATTTAAATATTATTTAATAAATAAAAATATACTTCAAACATTCTTTTATTAATATTTGTTTAAAATATAAGAATAATATGTATCGATATTTGAAATTTATTTTTAACACAGTGTAATAGAATGCGTGTACCATTTTGCATATGTTGTTTAATAACTCTTGGTAGTGAAATAAAACAGCATGGACTGAAAAATGTCATAAAATATTTTATACATCGAACATTATATTATATTTGATGCAAGGAAAATCGTACCGACTGAATACTTAATTCTTATTCCAACTGTAAATTTTGATCCTTGCAAGTAGTTTAATCTACCACTTTTGCCACTTCTTACTGAAATATCAGTATAAATACCTGACAACAAACATCTAGTTTCGCCCAGATGAGCGCCAGTGGTCAGGTGCGCGCTTCCAACCCATAGCTGATGAAAATCAGAGTGGTTCGATTCCACATTCTGGACGAGAGAGACATGGTGACGTTGAACACATGCTGAGTCTTTCAAGTACCTATGAATACCCTTTTAATCTATTTTTTTGAAACAATGCTCATCTAAATTACTTTTTTTTACTTTACCTCATTGTACACTTTGCTTATGCTGAATACTTTTACTCTTAATTTTTGTAACTTTATTCCCTAAAAATTATAACAGGCCTTTCATACTCAACAGTGGACAGGAGAGAATAGCGGGGCAGATGAAAAAAGGTAGAGGGAATTTTTAATAATAAAGGTTCTTGTAATAGTTTTGAAATTAAGGTGCGTTATTTGCCAGAAATAAAAGTTTTCAAATGTTCTTGTTTTCCAGTCGTCAAAATGTCTGCCGTGGTTTTCGATATTTTTCTACGTATTGCCTGATTTTTTGAGTTGAGGGGTGATAACTTGGTATTCTATGAACAAATATGTATAAAAAAATATATGAAAAAAAATAAAACAGCTTTTTAACTTTTCTATTGCTATACAAGATCTTTTTCTTTACACAATGACTGAAATTATAAATTCTTATTAATTAACTTACTTTTTATTGCATGAAACGATTCAAGAAAACAATGCGGAAATGACATCAGCTTCATGAGGTTGCCCTTGCATAAAATGAAATCTATAACTTTTAGTGTTCTGTACAGAAGTGCCATTATAAATACCAGACAGACCTAGGGCTTGTTGTGTCCAGACTGAAAAAAAGTGATAAAAAATTTTATACATCGAACGTTATACTATATTTGCTGCATGGAAAAGTGTTGACATACTTACCAATGGAATAACTATTTCTTATTCCAACTACAAATGGATACACTTGTAAGTAGTTTAATATACCACTTTTAACAATTACTACAGAAATACCAGTATAACCAGTATTACTACAGAAATACCAGTTATGTGACAACTCTTGAAATTACTGAAATCTAATCTGACTTATCTCTATTGAAATCAAGCAAGATTTAGAACTGAAAAACGTGTCATAATTTTTGTTGTAAGGAAAACGTGTATAAGTTTTGTTACGACTGTATACTTATTTCTCAATAATTAATATAAATACAATCTTAATAATTAATTTAATATAATTTAATATAATATATAGTAAAATCTACCACTTTTTATATACTACCGTGTATACATATACACATACCGTGTATAAGTGTGCCGTTCCTGCCGACTGTATACTTATTTCTCAATAATTAATATAAATATAAATATAACACAGTGAAATAACCAAAGAAACAACTGCCAGTAACGGCATCAACTACAAATGGAGATACTAGCAGGTAGTTTAATCTACCACTTTTAACACTTGCTATAAAAATACCAGTACAAATATCAGACAACAAACATCTAGTTTCGCCCAGATGAGGGCCAGAGCGGTCTTCAAACCTTAGCTGATAAGAATTAGAGTGGTTCGATTCGCCCTTCTGGGCGAGGGAGTCATAGTGATGTTCAACACATGTTGCGAGTTTAACATCTGTAAGGAAACCTTTTAATCTGTCTCGGAACAATCAGAACCCGAAACCTGTTGCACGAAGCACAGAGAGCAAGTTGATTGCATTTATCATCATATATTTTTATTACTAATGTGTCAAGTAATAGAAATGTAAATATGCTTTAATATGCATAACCCCAAACAATATTTAAATTTAATTAGATAAATTAAATCAATTAGATATCAGTTTAAAATTATTCTCATTTGTATCGATTTTTGTAATTTTATTTTATTTGCTGCAACAGTGTTAAACAATGCATATATCTTTTTAATACCATTTTTGCATATGGTATGAGGCAATTCTGGGTATTGAAATCAAACAACATTTAGAACTGAAAAACGTGCTATGATTTTTTATGGAACAGATGTTATATTATATTTATTGCAAAGAGAACCGAATTTCAATAACTACCAATTGAATAATTATTCGTTAATAAATAATTAATCTTAGCCCATCAAATGACACAATAAAGAAATATCATTAAAAGCATCAGCTAATGGAGATACTTGCAGGTAGTTAAATCTACCACTTTTAACACTTGCTATAAAAATACCAGTATAAATACCAGGCAACCAACTTCTAGTGTCGCCCCGATGAGCGCCAGTGGTCTGGTGTGCGGGCTTCAAACCCGTAGCTGATGAGAATCAGGGTGGTTCGATTCCAACTTCTGGGCTAGGGAGATAAGGTGATGTTGAACAAATATTATGTGTTTACTTCCCATATGCTCTCTTTTTATCTAATTTTTGTAATAATGCGCGCTAAAATTCATTTGGAACCTTTTATTAATTTTCTACGTTGCACACTTGTTTATGCTGAATACTTTTTACCTGTCGTTCTTTAAATAATATTACAAAAATAGAACCTTATTCTCTCTCTCTATACATATGTGTGTATTTATACACCCATGTGTTCCTTTCAATCTATTTTGAAACAAAGCTCGCTAAAAGTTACTTGGAATCTTTTATTACATTTTTCGTAGTACACTTGTTTATATTCTGAATACTTTTTTTATGTACTGAATATGCATTTGTTCTTTTACACTGAATGCTTTTTAACAATTGTCCTTTAAATACATAAAATAATAATAATTTTTCACTCATAAAAATTGTTTGATTTCGCTACCAAGATAGATTACAAAACTTTTTACCTATTCTATATATATATATATATATATATATATATATATATCAGTTTAAAATTATTCTCATTTGTATCGATTGTGGTAATTTTATTTTATTCTCTAAAACAGTGCATTAGAATGTATGTGTTTATCCTTTTTGCATATGTTATGACGCAATACTTGGTATTGAAATCAGAAAACTTTTAGAACTGAAAAAACGGGATATAATTTTTATGGAACAGATGTTATATCTATTGCAATGAAAACCGTATTTAAATTACCGATTGAATAACTATTCCTTAGTAATTTATTGAAGTGACCCAAGGTAGAAATGCCAGTAATGGCATCAACTACAAATGGAGATACTTGCAGGTATTTTAATCTACCACTTTTAACACTTGCTTGAAAAATTCCAGTATAAATTCAGACAACAAGTTTCTAGTTTCGCTCAGACGAGCGCCAGTGGTCTGGTGTGCGGGCTTCAAACCCGTAGCTGATGAGAATCAGAGTGGTTCGATTCCACATTCTGGGCGTGAGAGCCATGGTGATGTTGAACCCATGTTGCGTGTTTACAATTGCTATGGTTCTCTTTTAATATACTTGAAACAAGGCTCGCTTGAATTCATCTTTTATTACTTTTCTTGTTTATGCTGAATACTTTTTAATTACTGTCATTTAAGTAATTATAATCAGTATTTTTCACTCATGAAAATTGTTTCATTTCGTTACCAAGATATATTACAAAGCATATATATATGTATATATATCTGAAATCTCATATCTCTTCAAAAAGCTTTATAATGTAGAAATCTGATTGCCAATTGGACTGCCCTCTGGCCTTTGGTGCTTCAGGTTCAAATCCTGGCGGAGTTATGTATGTTTGTTAGTAGTTCGGAATCCCTTTTAAACTGTAAGTTCCGGTCTGATTATCCTCAAGTGTTCACAAAATTACCAAAGAACGACAAACAAAACCAAGCATCACGTGTCGCCCAGATGAGCACCAGTAGTCTGGTGTGCGGGTTTCAAACCCGTAGCAGAGGAGAATCTGCGTGGTTCGATTCCACCTCCGGGGCGAAGAAAATCATGGTGATATTGAACACATGTTGTGTGTTTAATATTACTACACTTTCCTTTTAATCTATCTTGAAGCAATGATTGCTTAAATAAATAAGGAGCTTTTGTTACTTTTTTCCGTAGTACTCGCATATGCTCAGTATGCTGTTTAAATAATTATAATAAGTATTTTTCACTTATGGCAATTGTTGATTTCTCCTACAAAGTATATTATGAAACACAGACACTTTCTCTCTCTCTCTCTCTCTCTCTAATTTCAATTCAATAACACTTGCTCTTTCACTCTGAATACTTTTTAACAATTGTCCTTTAAATGCATACAATAATAATAATTTTCACTCATAAAAATTGTTTGATTTCGCTACCAAGATAAATTACAAAACATAGACCCCTATTATGTATACACCTGGAACCTCGTGTGAAGTTTTTCTCTTCACAAAACGTTATGATATACAATTCTGATAGCCAAATGGACAGCTGTCTGGCCTTTGGTACTGGCGAGGGCATGTGTGTTTGCTATCCACTTTGTTACGGGAATCCACTTAAAACTGTAGTTTCGGTCTGATTAGCCTAAAGTCTGCACAAAATTACCATAGAACGACGGACCAAACCTAGCATCACGATATCCCTCATCTACCTGCTCGCCACTACAGGATGCTGTGTCACTCATTTTCGGTATTCCTGGTGCTCTCCGTATTGGTATTCCTCATTCCCTCATGAGAAATTCCAAGACCTACACCATGGGTTGTCCAGGCGTTTGTTCATCTTTATCATTGCATATAGTTACATTGAACTGTGTTTCTATTTTTCAGTTTAGATTTGATGCAAGAAAAGTTTCTTCTTTTTCATTTGCGCACAGCCCCAATGCCGGGCCAAGGATCAAGAAAGATTTCTATTATTTGAAAGTTATTTAGTTCTTAAAACTAAAAAAGGAATAAACGAAATGTAAAATATCTAAATGGACTTATGATGAAGAGGAACGATGTAATAAATATCTAAAAAATTTTTTACTTTCCTGTAATAAATAACGTTCATACATAACATCCTCTTCTTGTAGGTAATACAAATAAAAAACAACAGAAAATTAAAATTAATGATACCAAAATTCCTTGGAGATAGTTCAAAATACTTGGGTGTTTACTTAGACAGCACCTTCCACGGAAAAAGGATTTCAGAGTATACTGAAAAGAAATTCCGTGTGAATTTTAGAAAGTCTTTCCTTTTATGAGTAGACTCCTAAGCATGAGCAGGAACAGTAAATTCTTTTTGTATACAGCTATTCTACGATTCTATAATAATATACGCATGTCCAGTCTGGTCTTATGCCGCTTAAAGACTTCCTAACCACGATTTGGAAAATTTCAAAAATTCTACTGATAACCACGGCAATTCCTCAATTCAGGAAATTAAAATGTATGGTCCTAATAATAATTTTAAAGACTGCGGAATAATTTAATTTAGTATTTTTCAAAATCATTCTGAGTAATATTCCTCCTAGTCAACTGTTTACATCTCGTTCTACCGGAGATGAGGTCCCTCGGGTTAGAAAGCTCAGATATACAAAGAATAACCAACAAAATATTTTAAATCGTCTAAATTTTAAGATATGCATTAACAAAGGGTTATATTAAAATGTGCATACATTGTTTGTGCTATTAAAATGTAAAAAAAACATGTGAAATAATTTGACCGTCAATTGCTTGGAAAGTTGGCAAATGGTTAAATCGGTCAAATTGAAGAAGGTGGGCATAATAGGAGAAATGTATTTTAAGAAGGGATATGGGATTTGTTCAATATAAAAATTAAAATATTTTTTACCTCTAATTGTTGTTTGATTTTATCACCTTGATTTCTAACGTAAGATATGAAAACTGAAAAATGAGAGACTTGCGTTTCTTTAATCTTAGATAATAGTGTAAAAATATTAATCACAATTAATGCAACATATTTTTTTCAGTAATATTTAACTAGAATAAAAAGACGTAAAAAGTCATGATTGCCCAAGTAATAAAACAAAACGGCTTTAAAAAGTGAGAAATATATTTTATATTTATGTATAACAAAGTTTATATTTTTTTCAATATTGCTCATATGTTGCATTCAATACATTTTTAATGTGGCCAGCATTTATAAAGCTAATGGAAATGTTTGCATTTTAGAACAGTTATGGTAATGAGAGAATAAAAAATTCAATTTTATATGATCATTTAAAATATAAATATTGGTTTTAGATTTCTTTATTTGTCTTTGCTGGGTAGCGATTACCTTTTATCTTCTTCTACTTCATTGGCGCAGCAGCCCAGGGTGGGCCAAGGCCATCTGCCTAGTGGCAGATTTCGAAACAGCAGATGTTTTCTTTATACAGTGTCGGGGATTTCAGTCCTACGCGTAACACTATACTGTAATATTAGACAAGGAACTATGATTTAAAATGGATTCCAAACTGTTACAATCATCCATGACAATTCTAGAATTCGAACCCGTAACCTGTTGCACTGAGAACAAGAGCAAGTTGATTACAGTTTATCATCATTTTTTATTTGTAATGTGTCATGCACGAGATTTAAATACAATTTAATATACGTATCGAAAACAATATTTAAAACTTCATTTAGATATCAGACTCAAATTATTCTCATTTGCATTGATTTTTGTAATTTTATTTTTTATTTTCTAAAACATTGTAATAAAATGCATGTCTCTTTTTATACCATTTTGCACATGTTATGAGGCAATTCTTGTTATTGAAATAAAACAACACTTAGAACTGAAAAACGCGTTATAATTTTTTTTATGGAACGGATGTTATATTATTTTTATTGCAATGGAATTATCGTCATGATTGGCTCAACAGCTCAGTGTGGGCCAAGACCGTCTACCTATTGGTAGATTTCGAGACGAGATACGTTTTTCTTTTTTTTTACGGGGTAGAGTTGTCAGCTCTTCCGCCCAACAGTCATATGAGACCGGGACCTAAGACTTAAAGTGGATTCGAATTACTACAAACCGCCGTGACTCGAACTCCAAACCTGTGGCACCGAGCGCCAGAGCGGTAGCCACGCGGCCATTTAGGCCCATTTTGACTTGAATTGGGTGAAAACCGCATTTAAATACCTACCGATTGAATAAATAATGCTTAATAATTAATTAATCTTAATACCCTCATGTCCATAAATTAAGGATAATGAAGTTTAAAGAGACAGAAGCAAAAAACAAATTTGACTTATTTGTAAAGTCTATTTATTAAACAAAAAAGGTAAAGAGCAAAACAGATGCTATATGTTTGACATAAGTAATAAAAATTGCGATTTTTACTCCCTGGAGCAAATTTCAAAAAAGAACCTATTTACAAAAAAACAGTATAACATGGTTAGTATGATGGTTAATACGGAGTATGTCTCCCGGACGATGCAATACAGGCCTTACAACGCCTAGGCATGCTGAGCTTCAAATTATCAATCTGATCTTGGGGAATGTTACACTACTCATCGAGCAATGCCCTCCGAAGTTCCGGTTGACAGATGGGAGGGGGTTGACGGGCTGCAATTCGTCGGCCAAGCATATCCCACACATGCTCTATTGGATCTCTTTGTAAGGTAGCGATTACCTTTATCTTCTTCTTCTTCACTGGCGCAGCAGCCTGTTGGGCCAAGAACGTCGAGACAGCAGATGTTTTTCTTTTTACAGTGTTGGATTTTCGGCCCTACGCCTAAGACTATACTGTAAAATTAGACTGTGACCTACTCTTTAAAGTGTATTTCCCAATCATTAAAACATCCATGTCATCGCTGGGCCTCGAACCCGAAACCTGTCGCACGGATCACGGGAGATCCGTGCGTGCATTTTAACATCATATCTCTTCATTTGTAATGTGTCATGTAATAGAAATGTCCATATGCTATATTATAAAAAACTAAAAACAATATTTAAAAATTCACTATGATATCAGTTTAAAATTATTTTCATTTGTATCGATTTTTGTAATGTTATTTTATTTTTGACACAGTGTAATAGAATGCATCTCTCTCTCACTTTTTTAGTTTGCATATGTTATGTAACAATTCTTCGTATTGAAATCAAACAAAATTTAGAACTGAAAAACGTGTTTTAATTTTTTGATGGAATAGATGTTATATTATATTTGTTGCAAGGATATCCATTTTTCCGTACCTAACGACTAATTAAAATTTAAATATAACTCTGTGAAATGACTCAAGAAAGAAATGCCAGTAATGGCATCAACTACAAATGGAGATACATACAGATAGTTAAACAATACCAGTACAAATATCATACAACAAACATCTGGTTTCGCCCAGATGAGCGCCAGTAGCCTAATGTGCGGGCTGCAATACCGTGGTTGAGGAGATTCTGAGTGGTTCGATTCCACCTTCTGGGCGAGGGAGGCTGGATAATGTTGAATGCATATTCTGTGTTTAGCATGACTGTCCTACTTTTAATCTATTTCGAAACAATGTTCGCTTAAATTCATTTGAAACTTTTTATTACTTTTTGTGTAGACACTAGTACATGCTGAATAATTTTAACTATTGTCTTTTTCCAATAATTCTAATAAGTATTTTTTACTCATAAAAGTTTTTTGATTTCGCTACTAAGATATATTACAAATCATAGACCCTTATTCACACTCTCTCTCTTTCTCTCTCTCTCTCTCTCTATATATATATATATACATGCTCCCTGAAAACTCGTGTGAAGTTTTTTCTTCATAAAACATTCTAATATTATTGCCAGATGGCCAATTGGATAGCGTTCTGGCCTATGGCGCTTTACGTTCAAGTCCTGGCTGTGGCATGTATGCTTGTTAGGGGTTAATCCAAGTTAAATTGCAGGTCTCGGTCTTATTAACCTCAGGTGTGCACGAAAAGGACCATAGTGCGACAAACCAAACCAAGCATCGCGGTATCCTCATCTACCTACACGGCACTACAGTATGCTGCGGCACTCGTTTTGGGTATTCCTGGTGCTCTCCGTTTTGG